GCGTTACCAAGTACCATTGTAAACCGAGTTTACTAATTTCCCTACCACTTTCTGATTGGCTCTTCTAATTATTCACATATCGGAGTATCTGTGCTACTAATTAAATTTATACAGTAGTACTCCGATAGTGAAGTGTTAGTAAACCCTAGATTGATAGATTTCATCAAAAAACTATAATTACTTTTTCTTTGTTTTGTAAATAATAATTTTTATTGAGTAAATTTTTAAAAAAAGAACAACGATTATAAGGCATCGGATACGTGACGAATTTATCCGGTTACTTACGACGCTAGTCTCCCGAATGATATATTATTCGGCAACTAAGTAGTTCCTGCCCGAAAATTAATTTATTTGGCAGACAAATAATAGCTGCCGGATAAATTGAATTTCTAATCTGTCTGATTATTTTGTTCATTTTTTTACTACGGTCCCGGAACGTAAATGCTTGCTGCGTTCTCGTATATATATATATATATATATAATTACAATATTAGTAATTCAAATATATATTAACTAAAAAAAATCAAGCCAATTAAGTAATTTACCATATCGATATTTATATCAATATTTGAATTTAATTTATATACATTACGTAAAACATTATTACTTTTCAAAAATTACTCATCCGTTTGAAATATTACCCGATATACGGTAACTTAAAATTCCAAATACATTGGCTGATTGCCGATGTATGAGTGATGACGGCTAAATTTTTTCCGGGCACGTAACAAGCGCAAAATCTTTTTGCAAATCAAAACAAATTGAAATACTAATTACAAATAATAAATTTGTATTACGGTAGAAGAAATAGAATAAATTAGAACATCTTTCCTGCCTTACTAATATTTTTTGTCTGGATTGAAATGTTAATTATTACTAGTTTACATCAATGCATTCAAATTATAATTCAAAAATGTTAAAATCACTCACCAGTTATAGCAAAATGTATTTGCAACACAAACACGAATCCATGGAAAAAAGTCCGATTAGACTTTTTCAAATTAAATAAATTGATTGGCGTACTAAAAATTTGTAAAATATATAAAGTCGTGAATTTTTTTTTTCGGTTGGGTTAGCGTTGCATTAACGTGTTTTATGGATTTATGATCTTTTTTTCTATGCTATTTTTAAGATTAAAATTTGATTATAATTGATAAAAATTACTATAATTACGCTTGCTGTACCTATATAAATAATTTATTGTATATTCATTGCGACGAATTTCAATCCAAAAATAAAAAAAAAGAAAAAAGTGTTTTCTTTTTCAATTGGAAATTTACAATAATGGTATTCGGTAAATCGAATCCTCCTCCTCCTCCTCCTCCTCCTCATCCAAATATTGAGATTCCTGAAGCCAGTGCCAATTTATTTTCTGTGATTACATTTTGGTGGGCTAATAGCTTAATGAGCTTGGGTTATAAACGTCCTTTGGAAAAAGAAGATCTTTACGTGCTGAATGACGCGAGAACTTCTAAAATTCTTACCGATAAATTCGATGTAGAATGGAAGAAAGAAACTCAAAAAGTTGGAAAGAACCCATCTTTAGTAAAGGCTTTATATAGGGTTGTAGGGGCTAAATTTTTCTTGGCAGGAGTTTGTAGAATTGTTAGTGATACAATCCAAGTTTTTTCTCCTTTAATTCTAAAGGTAATGTTTCACGTACGCTTGTATTTCCACGTGATTAATTATGACACGTCTCGATAAAATTAACCTTTCTTAATATTCTTTTTATATTGTAGTTATTATTGAATTTTGTCACTGAAGCGTATACTTCAAACTTTGATAGTGGCCCGCAACCACCTGTTTATGTTGGCTATTTATTAGCCGTCGCCATGTTCTTAATGCAAATGAGTGTTACCGTTTTACAAAATTTATATTTTTATTTTTCAATGGAAACTGGTGTCCTCACTCGCTCTATTCTTATAACTGCAATCTATCGAAAAGCTTTAGTAATAAGTGGAAAAGCTAGAAGTTTATTTACTAATGGAAAGATTACTAATTTAATGTCTACTGATACTACGCGTATAGACTTTGTATGTGGTTACTTTCACATAATTTGGGCGGCTCCTATTCAAATTTGTATAGCATTGGGTTTATTAATTGTAAATATTGGTCCATCTGCATTGGCTGGTTTTGCTTTATTAGTATTAGTAGGTCCTATGCAAGGAAAGGTTATGTCATTATTAGCACGTACCAGAGTTAAAGCTGCTGCTGTTACCGATGAAAGGGTAAAATTAACTCAAGAAATTTTATTGGGGATTAGAGTTATTAAATACTACGCTTGGGAAGAGAGTTTCGCTGATACTCTTCATAAATTAAGAAATAGAGAAGTTAGTTTGGTTAGACTCTTGTTAATTATTAGAGCTGCTATTAGTGGTGTTTCCATGGTAAATTATTATTTTTTTTGATTATATCATTACTTTACTTTATTTTATTTTGTTTTATTTATTTATTTTATTATTTGCACTCAACTTTTTTTTAGGTCGTTCCAGTGTTTGCTAGTATCTTAGCATTTATAACATTCTCATTGACTGGAGGCGAACTCACCGCTGGAATAGTATTCTCTTCTTTGGCATTATTCAACATTCTCCGATTACCCTTAATGTTTATACCAATGGTGATAGCCTCTGTTACTGACGCTTATGTATCTATGAATCGAATAAATGAATTTTTACAATCTGATGAATTAACAGTATTACCAGAAATCGATCCTAACGAACAATATGCTATTAAAGTTACTGATGGTGAATTTATTTGGGAAAGTGCTCCACCAGAAGAAATTGCTAATAAATCAAAAAAGAAAAAGAAAAAAGAAAAAAAATCAAAAAAAAATCTTAAAAAGAAAGATAAAAATGAAAATGATTCTTCAAATAACATTGCTAATGAAAAAGCTCCTGATAGTACTTCTGATACTTCTACAGCTTTAACTCCTGCTGATTCGGCTGAAAATCTTGAAAATTCTAAACCATTTTCTCCAAAATCTCAACTTCGTGATATTAATGTTTTAATACCTCGTGGAAAGCTGATTGCCGTTATTGGTTCCGTAGGGTCTGGAAAATCTTCTCTATTATCAGCTCTGGTTGGTGAAATGAAAAGAATTAAAGGAGATGTCGTATTTGGTGGAAATGTTGGATATTGTCCTCAATCTGCGTGGATTCAAAATGCCACACTCAGGGATAATATTACTTTTGGATTACCTTTTGAGGAAAAAAAATATCGACAAGTGCTTAAAGATTGTTGTCTAGAACCGGATTTGAAAGTTTTACCTGCTGGTGACATGACCGAAATTGGTGAGAAAGGAATTAATTTATCCGGAGGGTATGTTATCGTTTTTATTAATTATATATATATATCAATAAAATATATTTTTTTAAAAAAGGCATTTTTTTTTATTTTTTTATTTTTTGATTCTTTAGACAAAAACAACGTGTCAACATCGCAAGATCTGTGTATTATGATGCTGATATTGTGTTATTAGATGATCCATTATCGGCAGTCGACGCACACGTTGGAAAGTATTTATTCACAAACTGTATTCAAGGTGCACTTGCCAACAAAACGCGTATACTTGTTACGCATCATTTACATTATTTACCACATGTCGATTATATAATATGTATGGAGGAAGGTGAAATAGCTGAACAAGGAACTTACGAAGAATTAATGAAAGAAGGAAAAGCTTTTTCCAAATTGATTGCTGAATATGGTGAAGCCGAAAGTGAAAGTGATGATGAAATGAATAAAGACGAAGAAAAAGTATCAGATGAAAATGAAAATAAAAAAGATCAAAATGTTGTTTTGTCTAAAGGGTTAATGTCAACGGAGGAACAATACAGAGGTGCAGTGAATAATGAGGTATATTTTACATATTTTAGAAACGCGGGAGGAATGCTATTGATACCTTTTATTATTTTCCTGCTTATAATGATGCAAGTAACAAATATTGGAAATAATCTGTGGCTTTCGTACTGGTCCAGCAATACGTTTAACCTTTCATTAGGGGTTTATATTGGTGTTTATTGCGCATGGGGAGCTGCTCAAGGAATTTTTAGCATTATTTGTGGTATCGTATTTTCCTATAGTGGTGTCAATGCAGCTAAAAATTTACATAGAAACGCAATTAAACGTGTATTAAGAGCACCAACAAGTTTTTTTGATACCACTCCTTTAGGAAGAATTATTAATCGATTCAGTAAAGACGTCGACACATGTGACTCATTACTTTCTGAATCATATCGAATGTTTTTAATGACCTTTTCAAACGTTATTGGAATTTTTGTTTTAATTGTAGTAGTATTTGTGTGGTTCATTATCCCATTGGTTCCTTTGCTCGTACTTTATTATTTTGCGGCTCTTTATTATCGGTCGACTAATCGTGAGTTAAAACGTCTTGATTCAGTATTAAGATCCTCATTATACGCTCATTTTTCCGAAACACTTACGGGACTACCGACTATTCGCGCTTATCGTGAACAAGAAAGATTTTTGAGAAATAACGAGACGTACTTAGATATCGAAAATAGAGCATACTTTCTCATTATTTGTGTTCAACGATGGCTTTCAATGCGCCTTGAAACCATTGCAAATTTATTAGTATTTTTTGCAAGTTTATTTTCAATAATTTTTAGATTCACTGTCGTACCTTCAATCACTGGATTAGTACTGTCTTATGCACTTCAAGTTACTGGAACTTTTAATTGGTGTGTTAGACAAGTTGCCGAAGTGGAAGCAAATATGAACTCAGTGGAACGTTTAGTTCACTACAGTAATAGTTTAGAAGTAGAAGCCGAGAATATAATACTAGACAAAAGACCACCACCTGGATGGCCATCTCGCGGAGAACTTCACGTTAAAAATTTGGAAATTAAATATGGACCTGATAGTCCTCTAGTTTTGAAAGGTATCTCAATTGATATTATGGCAGCTGAAAAAGTTGGAATTGTTGGTCGAACTGGATGTGGAAAATCAACGTTGGCAACATCATTCTTTAGATTTGTTGAAGCAACTTCTGGAAGTATTGTAATTGACGATGTTGATATCAGTAATATTGGATTAAGAGATCTTAGACGTAATATTACTATCATACCTCAGGATCCCGTATTATTTAATGGTACTATAAGGAGCAATTTGGACCCATTCAACGAACATACTGATCTCGATCTATGGAACGCGCTTCGTCGCGTACACTTAGTTAAAAATTCAGATCCTACTTCAGAAAAAGAAGGCTTGGAAAAATCAGAAGTTATCCTTACTGATTCTGACCAGACAAATAACAAACAAGAACCAATAACACTTGAATCATCTGTCAAAGAAAATGGATCAAATTTTTCCCAAGGTCAACAACAACTGATTGCAATGGCTCGAGCATTAGTTCGTCATTCAAAATTGATAATAATGGATGAAGCTACTGCAAGTATAGATTTCAGAACTGATCACCTAATACAAACTACAATTAGGAAAGAGTTTGATGATAGTACTGTAATCACTATTGCGCATAGGTTACGAACTGTTGCAGATTATGATAGAATTCTGGTTATGGGTATGTATATTATAAAAAATAATAATTTTTTTTTAATGACTTTTTGAAATATTTTCGAAATACTGTATTAATTCCTTTTTTTCTAAAATTAGATGCTGGAGAAGTAGCCGAATTCGATGCTCCATACTTATTGATGCAAAAACCCGATGGGTTGTTTAGAGGAATGTGTGAAAGAAGTGGTGAATTTGTAGAATTAATGGAAATTGCTAAACAGAAATATGAGAGTATACAGTCGACACATTGATGTATTTGCTAATATATATACAAATATATATAGAATTATATATATACGTATGAAAAAAATAATTTAGATTTACTAAAATGCATTATAGGTGTTGAACACTTATTTCAAGAAAAAAAAAAAACCAAAGAGTTAGTACTTGGCGCTTTAAGTAAAAAATACTTAGTGCTCCAAAATCTTTTTTCCTAACTTCTAATTTTAATAATAATAATTACAATTACAATTATATATAATGTTGAACACCATAGATGCATTTAAATTTTTTTATTAATGTAAATTTGAAATATACTGTATATTATAGTAAATTAGTAAATTAGTAAAGTTTAATATTAAAAGATTTCAATGAACTATATTAGAGTAGGCAAAATTAGCAAATAGAATACAAAATACCAACTCTAAATACTGTAATAATTTGTATTGTTAAAAAACTTTTAATTTATTAATTTATTATGATTCTAAATAAGTATGAAAAATTACTGTAAAAGATGTAAAACATTAGCATTTTAACAAATTGAAATCTTGCTATTATAAAGAATTTTTAAGCTTTTTACTCTCGCTATAACCTTGTTAAAGTGAATCACTCGCTATAGTTAGGGTCCGGAATCAACCCGGCCCGTAAAAGTTTTGGTTGGGCCCACATTTCTAAACCCGTAATTAAAACGTGTCGGGCTCGGGTTAAGCATGCTAAAATACCAGCCCGGGCCGGGCTTTGTAAAAAAAGCCCCAAAGCCCGTTAGCTCATGTTTTATTTTGAGATTTTTTTTTTTTAATTATACTTATCCCCCCCCCTTACATATACCGGGCAGAGTAAAAAATTCAGCTTGGAAAGCATGTGCGCACTTATATGATCACATGCCTTCTTCATATTAAAATAAGAAAATTTCATGTGCAATCCGCACATGCGCACATCGAATTTTTCACCCTGATACCGGGATCACCCATGTGATCGTCGCTTGCTAAAGCATCACTGCTTAACAGTCTTTTCGATCTGTTGACTTACTGTCATCTTGAAAGAAGACAGAAGTCATATGAGGTTTAGCCAATCATCGCTATAACATGAAAACAGTAAATACAGTAAATAAACTAAATCATTCTAATAGCTCTTCACGGTTAGTGTTAGGATGAGAAAGTTTGTATTCTAAAATCATTCTAACAGCCCTTTATGGTTAGTAGAGTTCCAATTCGGGTAAATCCATCGTCCATATCTGAACCATTCGGATAACTCAGATATCCGGATAATCCGAAAGGTATTCGGATAATTATCCAGATATCAATAGTAAACGGATAACCGAATAAATTCAGATCCAAATATCTGATAATTATCCTGATAAACACTTAACAGATTGAAGCTCTGGTGGTTAATGTTAGGATGAGAAAGTTCGTATTATAAAATCATTCTAAAAGCTCTTTATGATTAGTGTTAAGATAAGAAAGCTCGCATTATGAATCATTCCAACGGCTTTTTATGGTTAATGTTAGGATAAGAAAGTTCGTATTACTATTCTAACAACAGGAGGAAACATCGATTCCTCACCCGGTGTGCAACATATAAAAAACATTTTACAATACCAGATCATTCCGCTAGTACTGTACATATGATTATAATCCAACACCATTTTATTATAATAAAACAGGTGTTGGGTTATAATCATAACATGTACTACTATATATTCAATGCATAATATAAGGTGGAGTCGGGTATTATGGTACGGGAGTATTGCAGTACACTTACATTTTTTTAGTATTATTCGGTTCATTTTGCTGAGACAAATCAAATGATTCAAAAATTAATCAACTCCGTTTAAAACTAAGGGAAGATTAGACATCGTGTTGTAGTTGATACACTTTTTTTCTTTTTTCCTATTTGGATAATTTCAGGGAAGAGATCAACGAAGTAAAATATAATACGTAAAGGTTATCTACATATACTGTAATACGTACAATATTGAATATCAATATGTATAGTGTACCATAATATCTCCAACCTCAAAAAGCACAACAGTTTCTTCGATGATTTTTGAAAGTTTAGAATATCAAGTTTTTTTTAAAGTCTAGACTTTTTTTTTCATTGCTAGATAATAGGTCGAATGTTATCTGTTATGTTATTTTGTGATAAATATACTTTTTACTATTAAGTGATTTGCGCCGTGTAATACAACCTCTAAAAAGGAAATGGCCAATCTGAGAACACAAATTTCGGGTATTCCAGATCGAATCCCGAACACATGCGAAAAAAGAAAAAAAGAAAAGAGAGCGAAAATACTCAAAAACTAGTGTTTAAATCTATCTTTTAGACTAATAAAATAACGAGGATGAAATTTTACATATAAGAAACTCCAACTTATTGCTAAAGCTCACAACCCTAACGTCCTAATCCTAACAAATTTTGATTTCCTTTTTTGGTTTATGTTATCGGCGCGAATAAGTAAATTGCTCGAGTTTATCACATCAAAATTCGAGTTTATCACATAAATTATTAAATATTTAAAACCTCTAACCATAATACCCGACTCAATGTTTGTATTGTTGGTGTGCTCAATTTCTATTTAAGGTTACTTTGATGTGTCTAGTAATAGATATAAATAAATAAATGGTTATAATGATCCTCATGATGATGACAGTTCGGAATAAAATAAATGAGAAAAATGGTTTGGCTTTACCTTCAAAGTAGGGATGGAAAAAAAACGGTTTAAACAGTTTTTTAGATGTTTTAAACCTTTTTAAAAAACTTTTTAAAACAATTGGCGCTGAGACTAAAAATTAAAGTTTAGGGCTAAAATGCCGATTCACCAAATTTCATAGAGATAACTTTTAA